CTAGTGTCCTTTCACCTGCATAGTCTGTATTCAACACTCACGATGGAATGTTTTCACGGTAAATCAGCTGCTTCTTCTACAACTGCTCGTGGTACGTTTTGGTTTTGTGGCGAAACACCGAGCTGCGAGTTCTATTGGTATGACGAAGATTGTTATCTGTTTACGAGAGCGATGGAAGCCTGTCAAAGTAGTGGTTCCAATCATCCCATTTGCCCAACACATCAGAGATTGGCCAAAGTACGTGTGATAAAAGATAAAATGAAAGATAATTATGGAAGACCCTTCTTCACGTGTTCTGATCGACATGATCCTTGCAACTTTTGGCAATGGGGAGACATTTACGAAAGCCCTCGACCACGCTGCAAGCACGGGATGGTATGCACCGTACATAAAGTGAAAAAAGAAGGACCCACCCAGAACCGCCTGTTTTACTGTTGCCCTCAGATAGACAGCTGTGGATTTTTCGAATGGAAAGAGATCGAACCTCGTGTGACCAAGACTGGCTTCGTCCTATTCAGTGATCCGCTAGAATATTGATACAAGAATGAAGACACTGGAGAAACATTCACTAGTACTAACATTAATGCTAAGGAAGCGTATGAAGAATTTCTTAAGAAATATGAATAACTGTAATAAAACGAAATAAATTGTTTTTATCATCACGAATGTGTTCTGTATGTTATTGAGATAAATCACTTACATTTCTCATTTGGGTTTTAACCTTTATGGTGAGAGGTTCTCTGATGAGATGAATAATATAAATATAATTTTTGACGAGTTGAGACATAATGAAATCGATATCGATAAGCAGACTTTATCGTTTCATATAAATGCAATTCTCGACCACCATCGAGATCTATATCGTGAAGTGAGTGCTCATGGTCTAAACCTTGACCAAGTCTACAGAGAAATAAATGTGACAAACTTTGGTCGCATTTTTGCCTATTTAGCTTTAGTTTCTATGCAAAGTGACAGCGAGGAAAGCGTTCGAGAAAATGTCCGAAAAACTATCGAGGCCTTTCAAGCTTTTCATATCCCTAAGGCGAAGAGGAATAATAAACCACCAATTTTAATAACGCTCTCACTTATACTAATAGCTTTATATATTAGTCTATGATTGCTGCATGATTCATTTCGTTCTAACCTCTGAGGTGAAAGGATGCCCTGTTGTGGTAAAAGTCTTCCAGAAATTTCCCTCCGAGATATCTTTCGGAAAGTGCGTTGTATTTCCGCTTGCTGTGGAGGGACAATTGTAATTCAAGCCTCAGACATTGATGGCAGAAAAGTACCTGAGCCAAATCTATTACAATCCAGAAAGTCCCGCAAGTTTTGGTGGAGTAGATTCAATTTACCGTGTCGTAAAAGACGAAGGCAAACATCAGATATCGCGGAATAAAATACGGCTATGGCTGCTATAGGACTCAAACAATTAACATACCATTGTATAGGAGATTAGTTGGACAATTAGCAATTACTTAATATATTCATATTTTGAATATAAAAACGGTTGAAAGTATACGGCGAGGGCATATCTATAGTCAACATCAAACAGTCTAAACGAAATGATTTTAATTCTACCTGAATGATGTTAGCAAAGGATAAGTGAACTCTAATAAGATCTACAATTCTACATGAATATTGCTATCGATCGCCCAGTTGGGGAATTATCTGTAAGTTTGTTTATTTATTTTACTAAATTATTGTAGACTAGGTAGTTTATTTGTTTTTGTATTCACTTATAGTTGAACCGTATTAAATCGTATTATTTACGCGTTCGAAAGTCTTGATTCGGCGATCGAGGAGTAATATAGTTCAAAGATATCTCGACTCAAGAATCTACTCGAAAGAACTGAACGCTAGTAGGCTTACTCGAATGTTAGTTATCTATTATGTCTGTGTCGCAATCAACAAATCAAAGCGAAACCGGTCAAGACGAACATGAAGACCAGGATGCCAGCGCTCGGTCACGAAACCCAAAGCTGACTCTTGATCACGAAGGAATTCGATACGAAAGGTCTCAGCAATTAAGAAGAAATCGCTCAGCTGCTAAAGGAGTTGTTACTAAAAAGATTAAAAAATTGACCGAACTGACAACAAGTGTAATAGACGCCAGCGAAGCTCGAATAAAGGCTCAAGAATTCAAGGACGTAGCAGTGAAATTTTACCTCGCTCACGCCGATTATCATGTAACGATCATGGACGAGTATGATTTACAAGACTCCGAAGAATATTTTCAAAACGAAACTCAAAGAATCGAAGCTTTTAAGCGAACACTAGCGGACTGGATTCATAGTTTGTCAAACCCAAACCCGTCGCCATTGGAGTGTGAAATCAATTCAAACGAC